GTACCCCACCTCCACCTCACTGGCGTCTGAGTTGAAGTGAAATTCTGTGCCAGTTACTGATCCAGCCATGGGCCCATCCATCTGGTCCGTCAAGAGTCACTCTCATCTTATCAGACCATAAAACCTTTGAAAATATCTGTCTTCAGATATTTCTTGGCCCAATCTTGCTGTTTCAACATGTGTCTTGTTCAGTGGTAGTTGGGTTTCCGCCTTCCTTACCTTGGCCATGTCTCTGAGCACTGAACACCTTGAACTTCTGGGCACTCCAGATAGGGTGCAGTTCTGGAATATGACAGCACTGGAGGACAACAGATTCCTGATAGCTTCATGTTTGATTTTTCTAAATTCTTTGACAGTTAATGTGTGTCTTTTTTTCTTAACATGTTTCTTGTGACCCTGTTGACTATTTGCAACAAAACATTTGATGGTTCTGTGATTACGCCCCAATATCTTAGCAATTTCAAGAGTGCTGCATCCCTCTGATTTTTTTTTACAATTTTTGACTTTTCAGTGTCAGTTAAATCTCTTTTTTGGCCAATTTTGCCTGAGGAAATGAACCTGCCTAATAATTATGCACACCTTGATATAGGGTGTTGATCTCCTTAGGCCACACCCTCCCTCATTACACACATCCACTAAGCATTCAAGTTTATACAGCTTGGAGGTGGAAAATAATGCATGAAAATACTATGATCAAAATACTCACTTGCACACCGTGTATTATATAAGTGTTCATGGATCAGAGTCCACTTCATCAAATGTATGTAATAAGTCCTGACAAACACATTCTGTCATTTAATCACCAAATATTGATTTGATTTGGATTTCTTTTCTGTTCATTTACTTTCCATTTTATTAAGTAGTAAAAATAAACTATTAACACTTCTATTTCTGAAAGCATTCTTTTTTTTTATTGAAAGTTTTTTAAATTTTACAAAACAAATCCCCTCCCCAACCCCCCCCCCCCATACCCTCCCCCACCTCCCCAAACCTCCCAACCCTCCCCCAACCTTCCCAGAGCTAAGTACAGGCTTAATTAAAATTTTTCAGAAAAAGAAAAGAAAAACTTAAAACACATATAAATCCTAAACAAATCTAAATACATTAAATTAAATAGGTTATCTTCTCTAAAAAATAATAATTGCAATCATTAAACACATTATAATATACTCTAAACATTTTCTAGTATCATACTTATATTATTATCCATCATTCTGTATAAACTCCCTCCAAAACACAAATTTAAACATTACTTTCTTTGAATATCTATACCTACAATATAAAATCTAATCTCTCCCTCTTTCTTTATCCTAGAACACAAAAATAAACATATAAACCTTCATTATACCATTAAAACTAAATACTCTTTGAATACTTAAACTAAATACTTAAACTTAAACTTCTTATCTAAGATTTTCATTCAATCTCCATAATCTTCTCTCCTATCAAAAAAAAACTTAAAAGACATATAAATCCTAAACAAATCTAGGTACATTTAATTAAACAAGTTATCTTCTCTTAAAAATAATAATAATAATAATAATAATAATAATAATAATAATAATAATAATAATAATAATAAAAACCCCAATCATTAAACACATTATAATATACTCTGAACCTTTTCATATCATACTTATGTTATTATCCATCATTCTTTATAAACTCCCTCCAAAACACAAATTTGAACATTACTTAAAACATTAGAATTCCCTTATACACATTTAAATCTTTACCAATAACAAATTCCATCCACAATAAACACATTCCTTATCAGTCTCTCTTGTCCATAAACCATTAAAATTCCCTTATACACATTTAAATCTTTACCAATAACAAATTCCATCCACAATAAACACATTCCTTATCAGTCTCTCTTGTCCATAAACCTCAAAAGAAGTGCTTTGAAAACTGCCCTTAAAGCTAACTCCAAAAAGTTTGTAAATCTTGCTTCTCCCACAGACTCAGTACTCTTTTGAATACTTAAACTAAGTACTTAAACTTAAACATCTTATCTAGAATTTTCATTCGATCTCCATCCTTGTCAGTCTCTCTTATCCATAAATCTCGAAAGAAGTGCTTTGAAATATGCCCTTAAAGGTAGCTCCAAAAAGTTTATAAATCCTGCTTCTCCCACAGACTCAGGAGCCAATACTTGTGAGGCTTCCTTAAACTCCTTCTTCTGTTGCTCTTTTTCTTTACGATTATATGTTGCACGAGTTGTCCTCTGCTCCTTCATCTCGACTTGTTGAGGCCCCTCAAACTGAGATTTCCCATTTTTCATTAATATAGGCTCTTCAGACTGCAATTCTACCCTTAAAGGTTGCTCCAAAAAATTTATAAATCCTACTTCTCCCACAGATTCAGAAACCAATAGTTGTGAGGCTTCCTTAACCTTCTTCTGTTGCTCCTTTTCTTTACAGTTATATGTTGCACAGGTTATCCTCTGCTCCTCCATCTCAACTTGTTGAGGCCCCTCAAACTGAGGTTTCCCAATTTTCATAAGTATAGGCTCTTCAGACTGCAATTCTACCTTCTTTTCTTCCAAAGCTTTAAACTTAATAGATGGCGATGAACATACCCCCAGGACCGAAGTATAAAAGTCTTTTGCTTGAGAAACAGTATTAAGTCTATAACATATCCCCAGGTAATTTACCACCATTCCAATCGGAACATCCCATCTGAACAAGATTCGTCTCTTTTTAAGTTCATCTGCTAAAAAAGCAAACACCTTTCTTCTTCTTAAAATTTTAGATGGGATCTCCTTTAGAATTATAACATCTTGTGAAGCAATTTGAAATCTCTTCTTATAAAAAGCTTGTATAATTTTTGCGCGATCTTTTCCCGAAGTAAATTACCACATCTCTTGGCAAATTCTTTTGCACTGCCACCACAGAGTTAACTCTAAATAATTTTTCAATTTCACTAAGTATTTCCTCTTTTTCTTTATTCAAAATCACAGCAAAGTCCTTTGCAACCATCTCTCTCAGATCTCCTTGCACAGACTCTCCCAAACCTCTGATTCTTAAGGCATATTCCATTTGTCTATATTGAAGCATAAGAATCTCATTTTCCATTTCTTTTTCCATGCTTTCAAATTTTCCCTCCATCAATTCCACTTTTTCTTCTACCTCTTCTACACGAGAGTTCAGCTTTTCAAGAACAGAGGCAACTCCTTTTAAAGCCAAAACTATCTCTTGCCTCAAAATCTTATTATTTTCCTCTAAAATCTCTTTCATTTCTGCCCTAATTTGAGATATAACATTTCCCATCATATCTTGCAAATCCTTCACAATTATTGGCTGTACCAAGGAAGAGGGTGAAGCTATTGATTTAGGTTGTTGCACTGATGATAACACCGAAGAAGAAACCACCTTAGGAGCTGTAGGAATTACTGGACGCTTTGGAGCCATTTTAAAAAAAATCTTTACTCCTTAAAAATTACAAAAATTAAGCAAAAGAAAAAGAGAGATTAAGTCCAAAAAAATTCAAAAAATCCTTCAAAAGGAGATCATTATAACAAAAAAATACTGAACGCTTTGGAGCCATCTTAGAAAAATCTTTACTCCTTCTTAAAAGTTACAAAAATTAAACAAAAGAAAGAGAGATTAACTCCAAAAAATTAAAAAATCCTTCAAAAGAAGATCATTATAATAAAAAGAAAGGAGTTAAAAAAAGAAAAGGGAAGAAGAAAAAAATAATTAAATAGAAAAAATCCATTCCATTTTTTTAAAAGTACAAAAAGCAAAACAAAGAAGTTAAACAAAAATAATAATGCTTCTAAAATCCAAACCCAACATCAAAATCAAATCCACATTCCGTTCCAATCATTAAAAAAAAGGAAAAGGATAAAAAAAACACCAAAAAGCCTGCCGATCGCCATTCTACCTTCCCAAAAAAAAAAAAAAAACCGAAAGGCTTGCCGATCGCCATTTTACTTTCCCTTTCAACAAAAGGAAAAAAAATAAAAAGAAGGAATATAAAAGTAAAAGTAAATCTTTAAACTTAAAATCCAAATAAAATCAAAGAAAGCAAAAGCTAAATCCTCTACTCAGCTCTGTCCACCTCTAAAAAAAACTCACCAGATCACTTTAATCGCGGAGGTGGTTGCAGCGGCTTGTTTTGTCCCTAGGGACAAAAGCAGCTGGGAAGCGGAGACAGTCTGAACTCCGTGGGAGCACTCCTCTCACCCCCCCCAAAAAAGCCTTGGGGGTGCATGAGAATGGCTCTACCATTATTCAGACAACCCTCTTCCCCCCCCTTTGCCCGGGAGGGGGATTTTGAACCGCTGAACAGCTGATGGCCGCTGTTCATAGCAATTCAAACACTTACCCAGGAGGATGGCTAGAAAGTAGCCGCCATCGCGCGCGCAGATCCACCGGAAGTCAATTTCTGAAAGCATTCTTAATTTACAGCATTTTACACAACTGCCTAAAACTTTTGTACAGTCAACTTATTTAATCAGTGAGAAATGGTTTTCCTTCTATTTAATTCTTAAAGGTATTTAAGAAGGATTTTATACAAGGTGGCTTCTCAAACCTCAGAATATATTACAAGCCACATAGCAATTTCCTACAATATAGTGTTAGTTTGTATTTTCTTATTTGCTGAGATGGGTCTCAGTAATATATACCAAGCTGCTCCACTCAGCCAAGATCACATCCCAGATGAGATGAGTTTTATTAGAAGCCAACCTAACATTATGTATGTCCAGGAATGCCTAAGGTTTGATAACCAGTAAGTGATTGGATAGTGAAGGAAGGGGCTGGAGTGCAGGATATATACAACAACTCATTCGTACACTCTTATTACTATTACTATTTAGAGCCAACCAAAATTTATTCACTGACTTTATTCACATATTACTCTGTGCTAAACCTAAACAATATACATTTGAATTTAGGTTGAGATACATATGCAGAAATCAATTACATTAAAACGTAGTTTATGATTAATGAAGTAAACAAAACTGAACTCAGTTATAAAAATTACATACTTACAGGTCCCATAATAGTTGCTTGCCAATGAAACACTGAAAAACACAAAATATTATTTACCTTATTAAATATTTAACCATGCTATATATTATAAATAAATAAAATATTTTGCCATCAACTATAAAGATCTTACAGTCATCTCCAACAGGTCCAGCCGAACAATGTGCAGGTGGATCACGCTGCAGATCACTTAGCTCCTGCAAGAAACATAAAACATTTGGAAGGTTATAAGCAAACTCAAAATTAATTATTCAAATTTGGATCCAATTTATTGATTTGATCAAAATTTATAACCCAAAAAAATCAAAATAAATTTTAATCAATGTAAAATTCAATAAATGTACAATGGAACTAAGATAATTAGTATTGAGCACTACTGTGAGATAACTGATCTCCATACATTTAATGTATTTTATACATTTTCATTAATAAAATCAATGACTCCCACATTATTTCAATTCTAAAGTTGTTAGCCTATGCGGAAAAACATAAATGCAGACTTCCAAACATTCTGATTAAATAAGAGTTAAGGCAAAAGTTGAGCATGTTTTAATCTGAGTAGAACTCTGCAATGAATTAAGTCAAAACCCTTCATGGGCCAAGGAAAGAGCCAGTGATAATTTATACTACCATGTTTTGAAGTTATTATTTTATTGGCTACGGCACAATTTCATTAACAATGTGAACTAAATTAGAAGTTTGTAAGAGGTAAAGATAACATTCTCAGGTGTACAAAATATATAGGAAAAGCAAGTAAGTCTACAAACTTTAATTCTAACCCAAGTATACAAATATTAATGTATGTTGTACTTCATTTATGTTTTTTAAGTTTATATTGCAATAGAAATAAACTTATATACTATGAACTTATGTATACTAATGAAGTATATTAAAAGTATTAACATAATAAAACCCTAATATAAGAATGTCATAACTGCATCAACTCTCCAACTGCCTGAAAATTCAACCTTCCAGGGATGCCAAATGATTGGGCCAGAGGGGTTCTTTTGTGAAAGAATTTTGTAAGCAATTTACTATGACTAAAAAGACTCAATTTTTCATGCCCATTTGCTTCATTTTCAAATGCAAAGCTCAGCTTGCATGTATTTTAAATAAACTCATTTATTCATCCCAAAATTACAGTTGTCAGAAAAGCTATAGCTCTAAATGAGCTGATATTGGTGAAGGATGCAAAAATAAATGAATTATTAATAAGAGCTTCCCAAGTTATATTCATAACAAAAGGTAAAAGAATCAGCTGCTCAGTGAAAATGGCAAAATGCTAACAGGTAACACAGAAAAAGCAGAACCTATTCTTATAGACGTTCCATTTGGCAAGTGTAAAGAGCAGGATGAAGGGGCAGGATGAAATGCAGTCATGGAATACCTGCTCACTTGAAGTGAGATGAAATCTCCAGAATCAGATGAACTTGATTTTATGGTATGAAGGAATTTGCTGATTATCAGACGTGCCATTATGTCTTTGACAACTCTTGGAGAAACGATGAAATTCCAGACAACTGGAGAACAAATATTATATTTATCTTCAAGAAGGGAGAAAAGGGAATTTGGGAAGATTCCAGACCATATTGTAAAAAGAATGATCCAAACACCCTTAAAAATAAAACTACGATTACCAGTGGTTATCATGGATTGAGTAGATTTGGGGAATGCTATAGACAGAATAGATCTTAATGTAACTGAAGTATTTGACAAAGAACCCAAACTATCCTGTTTACCAGTTGAAAGAAGACAATGAATACTGTACATCGCTGGTCCAAGAAATGTATCTGAAGCCTGCTCAATAGTTCTTCTACCTGCATGTGATATCAAGTGGAGTGATGAAATGAAATCAGTCCTGAATCTGGTACTCTTCAGTATTTTTTTTTTTCATGACTTTGATGTGAAGGAAATGCTTCTCAAATTTTCAGGCATAAAATTGGGTAGGTTTATACTGTAGAAAACAGAAATAAAATTCAATATTATCTTGGTAAGTAAGAAAAATAGATTTCTCTAAGTAGTCTACCATTTCTCAAGTATTATGTGCAATTCTCAGCATTAAATAGCAATAATGATTTAGAGAAACTGGAACAGATACTGGGGAAGGGGAGGACACAGAGTGATCTAGAACAGAGCTCCCCAACCTTTCTGGGTTGGTGGCCGGGAGGGAAAGAAAGGAGCAGGGAAATGTACGCACGCTCGCATGTGCAAAATGTGTACCGTATGGCGGTGCGGTAGCAGCCGCACGCGCAAGCAGCGCACACACACCCATGGCAGTGTTGGTGGCGATGCTGGCGCCTGCACACCTGTGCAAACAGGGTGCTAGTGCCTGCGCACATGCGCAAATGAGGCACTAGTACCTGCATGATGCTGGTGGTGGCGCTAGCGCCCGTGCAATAGCAAACGGGGCTGCTAGCACCCGCACAGCAGCGCTAGCACAAGTGGGGAGGATGCATGCATACGTGTGCGCACTCGCCAGCCATTCCCGTGGCCTGATGACCAAGAGGCCACGGACTGGTTGGGGACCCCGATCTAGAAACTAAGTCCCATGACTAAATATCTGGGGATATTTAGCCTGAAAAGACAAACTTGAAAGAATATATGACTAAGCTCTCTATAAATACCTAAAATACCCAGAAAGATGTCACAGAAGATGGCTAGGACTTGATCTGACCTCAGGGTGCTCCCAGGGAACAGGAATAAAAATTAATAGATTTAAATTACATTAAGGCAGACCTCAACTGAATATTCGAAAATAATGTGCTTAATATGCTTCTTCTTGAGCCACTCATTTGTTGCCTTGACCATGTGTCATGCTGGAATACCTATCCATGACCCATTTTCAATGCCCTGGCTGAGGGAAGGAGGTTCTCACCCAAGACTTGATGGTACATGGCTCCACCCATCATCCTTTTGATGCGGTGAAGTTGTCCTCTCCCCTTAGCAGAAAAACACCCCCAAAGCATAATGTTTCCACCTCCATGTTTGACAGTGGGGATGGTGTTCTTGGGGTCATAGGCAGCATTCCTCCTCCTCCAAACATGGCGAGTTGAGTTGATGCCAAAGAGCTCAATTTTGGTCTCATCTGACCACATTTTTGCCCAATTCTCCTCTGAATCATTCAAATGTTCATTGGCAAACTTCAGATGGGCTTGTACATGTGCTCTCTTGAGCAGGAGGACCTTGCGGGCACTGCAGGATTTCAGTCCTTCACAGCATAGTGTGTTATCAATTGTTTACTAGGTGACTAGGGTCCCAGCTGCCTTGAGATCATTGACAAGATCCTCCTATATAGTTCTGGGTTGATTTCTCACCATTCTCATAATCACTGAAAATCCACAAGGTGAGATCTTGCATGGAGCCCCAGACTGAGGGAGATTGAGAGTTATTTTATGTTTCTTCCATTTGTGAATAATCGCACCAACTGTTGTCACCTTCTCACCAAGCTGCTTGGCGATAGTCTTGTAGCCCATTCCAACCTTGTGTAGGTCTACAATCTTATCCCTGACATCCTTGGACAGCTCTTTGGTCTTGGGCATGGTGGAGAGTTTGGAATCTGATTGATTGCTTCTGTAGACAGGTGTCTTTTATACAGGTAACAAGCTGAGATTAGGAGTACTCCCTTTAGGAAAGTACTCCTAATCTCGGTTCGTTACCTGTATAAAAGACACCTAGGAACCAGAAATCTTGCTGATTGATCAAATACTTATTTCATTCATTAATATGCAAATCAATTTATAACTTTTTTGAACTGTGTTTTTCTGGATTTTTTGTTGTTATTCTGTCCCTCACTGTTAAAATAAACGTACCATTACAATTATAGATTCATCATTTCTTTGTCAGTGGGCAAACATACAAAATCAGCAGGGGATCAAATAATTCTTTTCCTCCCTGTATATTAGTATTAAATACAGCTCTAGGACAATTGTGAGTTTGATCTATATATTTCAGTTCTAGCCCTCAGTTCAACTTCAGATATAGTATACAGTATGCATAATGTATCTCTTTTTATAAAATAAAATTTAAATCCAATATAAAACAAAAGAAGAAATGTCTTGGGTGATATACTGTAAAATGCTATAATCTCTCTTTTTAGGCACTAAAGGAAATTTTTATTTTTTAGTACAAACTTTATCAATCTATGTGGCTGTTTTAATACTGTTTATATGTATTGTCAATTTAAGTGAAAATGTTTTAATCTATTTCTTATCTTATTCAACTAGATACAAACTAATTCCCTCAATACAATATAGCAGTTCAGTAGGACAGAATTTTTTTTAATTCTTTACACAAATTGTTAAGAACTGTATTTTTAGTAATTACCGTATATGCCGGCGTATTAGGCGACCCGGCGTATAAGACGACCCCCGTCTTTGTCACCGAGCCGCATTCCTAGAATGTCGTCTTATACGCTGGAAACTACCAGTATTTCCGGCGTATAAGACGACTAGGCGTATAAGACGACCCCCGTCTTTGGCGCCGAGTTTAGCACTTGCGGAAGTCATACGCCGGCATATACGGTAATTAATTCTTAACACTAAATTAGAAAAAAAAATAGTGTACTGCTACAAGTAGAAACTTGGTAAGAACCATTCCAACCACCAGAATTATTGAAGATTATTTTAAACTAGAACATTAAAATATATGTCCTTAAGTAGAAACCTATGTGAAGCAAAAAGGTAGAGAGGTCAGAAGTCAAAATTATATTCAGAACAGTAATACATTAAAGGCAAACATTAATGCTTTCCAATGCTATTTACAGTGGAGAATCTCACTGGAATTGATGGATTTCACATCTTCATCCACCCATCTGTTCTGGAAGCTCACCCAAATTGGGTGGGTGGGAGTGACTTTGCAGTGGGAAAGCTCATTGTTATTATTTCAAGGGAATAAGCTAACTGAATTCCATAGTCAGAACAATATTTATTTTTGACTGGATCATAAATACTTTACTAAATTCCTAGCTTCATTATCAAGAGGCTATTCATATTTAACCAATTAATCAGTAAAGAAGGAAAAAATATTTTCTAGATATTTCCATGATGGCTTACATTATATATCCTATGCATAGTTATTCATGAAACCATGTTGTGAAATGAAAATAACCTTGAGTTAAAGATGACTAGGATTATAATTTTAAAAGTTTGAATATCTTTGTTTTATATAAAATAAATGCCTAAAATACTTAAATATGACTATTATAAATCATTTTGCAGTGGACTAACTAAACTAATTTAATTATTTATAACTTAGATGTAAAAAACAGCTGAAAATTAGAAATTATTTAATATGCAAAAAGATAATATATTGAGGCAGAACTAGAATTATAATCATAGTAAGGACTAATAGCTGTTAAACACAATAAATATTAAATACAATATAGTCATGAATATTTATCTTATTATAATTTTACATAGCCATCCTATTACCCATTTTTGAAAAAGAAAGCATCAATTCCAGAAGGAAAAAAAAATCTTTGGAATTTTTTTCTCTGTTCGTCTTAGAATTTCCAATATGTTTCTTGGGGAAACTGAGGTGTCCAAAATGTTTTCCACTTCTTTTTCTCCCTGGGGCATCACATCTTTACAGGGTGGCTATTTACAAACTTGATGGTAGTTGGATTACCACATTGTGTTAAGGTAAAACATAGTTTGGATTAGCACAATGTGTAAACCCAGCTATTATGGTTTATGAGTCATGGTTTATGGCTTATTATTATGAACCAGGCATTATGATTATTTAACAAGCCACAATTTAAATTAACCACAAACAGTCAGTGAATCTGATTTTTTTAAAGGACCTTCCATTTACTCACATTAAAATTGTTATAACCAATTAGTATTCACCAACATTCATTTATTACTTTAAATTACATTAAATGAATATTCATTCTGATAACTGAATACGAAGCCAAATGTTTGTTGTTCCTCACATAATTCCCCTGACCTTCTAGAAAAACTATTAAGCTTATTTGAAATTAATTTTATTCTGAAAAACTAGCTGCGTGTCATTTCAATGTGTACTTGTCCAAAGAAACCAATGGCAAAATCTTTCCCAGCACAGTACCTTTTTAAATCCAAAGGCTCAGGTTTCAGGGAGAAGAGAAAATAACTTATTTATGCAAAGCGCTGATACTACCAGTCCAAAGGAGAATCCACAAGTGTCCAATTTCCAAGTCTCATGGAAGTTGAATATAGCAAAGGCCTATAACAAAGCTATTGAACTGCAGGCAGTGGAAAACCTGTTGATCTCTTTACAATTTTCAATTTCAGATTAAATAAAAGATCTGTAAAATGCTGACCAGCATAAAATCTTCCTAGAGATCTACTTCATTGAAACACAGCGGATACTCTTAATTATGCACGAGATTGTATGTGTTAATGGTTCCTGTCTAGGTAAGAAATTAAACTGCTGATGCTAAAATCACTGAGACTACTTGACTGCTTTTAAGTTTGCCTTGTTATTTTGCTTCTGAAATAAATATTACTTTTAATTTCATTATTGTTCTTAAGAATTATTGGTTTTTATGATGATTTTAAAACTTTTCTTTTCCTTTTGAAAATTTGTTTTGGAATTTTTCTGAGAAAAATTGCTGTGGAAATAAAAAATGACTTGCTTGTTTTCCTATCATGGCCAAACAGAAATAATAGCAGTTAGTTCTTGATTAAAATGGTAACTGGGAGCAAAATTTCCATTGCTTAGTGATGCAGTTGCTCCCAGCAGCTCTCAATGCCATTATTTACTAAATCCTATTGGTCATTAGGCAAGCATCTACCTCAATCCAAGCTTTCCCAACTTGGTCTGTCTCAGCCCCAAATTGTGGTAAGGAATGGGACTGACTCTTTTTGAATTCCTACCATCCACCCCAATCTCCTTGTGGCCATTCTATATTCTTAGAAGTGGTAGGCACCCAGCAGCATCAGGATTGAAGTAGAAGCCCTCTGACCTCTAGTT